CCAACAAAAGTAATAGAGCACATAATTTGGAAAGCGCGAGGAATGGCTAGATTATGCTCGTTCAATTATATCTTAACGACCAAAGTAACGTCGGTGGTTTTATTCTTAGCTCAGAAAGAGAACAGAACTAGAGTTACAAGTTACATATTTTTTAAGTAACTGGTTACAATTCTAGACCAACGAAGTTACAGTAACGAGTTACTACTACCCCAGACTACGACTGAACAAACTACTGTGAACAACGCGAAAGCAACAGCAAATGACGCGTAAAAAAAAAAAAAAAAGACGTTGCGAGTAGCGGCAATTGACATCTGGGACGCGAGAGTGGACAAATAAACAGCCTGATTTGCCTCGAAATTGGTTCAACACATTCATATACTCCGTTTAATGATAACTTGACGAACTGTAGAGGTTGTGCCCACGCGATCCAATAAGAGCATCGGAGCAAGTCACGTGATAACACTCCATGGTAGAGGCCACGGACGCCTCATTGCCACCAGAGCAACAGCGCCGTGCTCGCGCGAACTCGCGTGATTTCATCTTTATCGAGACTAATTTCAGAATAAAGAATGAATATAAAAAAAAAATGTATGAGTTTCAATTATATTTAAACCAGAAAAGTGACTCCACATCCGTTTCTGCTCGCGATTCCTTATTCTTCTTGCAGAGCCGTGGTTGTTGGCGATCGCAGCCGTGTAATCGAACGCTTCCGCTCAAAACATTGTTCTGGCATTAGCACCCACCAATGATTCACGGGTAAATGGAGCGTGTCGTGTTCCCGAAGAGCCCGTTGCTCCAGCAGACGGCTGTTGCGGCGAAGGTCGTTCATCCGAAGTTGGTTGGTTTCGCAGGAGTCGACTCTTGGCCAGCAGACGACACCCGGTTCATTGGGGCAGTGAGACACACATTTCCGTGACATATGGTCACGTGCTCTTATTGGGTTACGGGGGCCGTAGCCTCCAGAGTTCGCCAACTTGTCGTGTAACGAAGAATAGACACATCTAAACCAGTAGATCAAATTAGGAGTAACAATATTTTGTTTTTCGCATTATACTGACGTTGTAACTTTGCATGAAAGTGGCGACGCAGACGAGTGTGTTTTAAGTTTGATCTGAGGGGCTCAAAGGTCATACTGGCAACGCTGGAAACGTGACGTACTATGGGGGCAGTACAATTTGTTTTCGACGGTTAGAGTAAGTTTTACAGTGTGAAATGAATGCTGCATGGTTCAACACCCGCCAGCAAAACGGGGAAAAAAAATTCGCAAAATGTTGCGTTTTTAAGACTACCTGCTCGTCTCGCCGGTTATACTTATACAACATGTGACATCACTTCACTGGGGAGCGCGGGAAAACGATTTGAAATGTTGGTTTTGGCGTAACTTTCATTTTCCATTTTATCAGTAGCTATTGTGGGTTTAGAGATAATAATAAATAGCATGCCAAGAAGTTTAAGCCTGGGTAGTCCGAAGATGTGTTTAGATTGGGTTACGCGAAAACTATCAGGGACTATTGGCGACGTCCGCGACGGAAAGCGTCACTGTGGTCTACCTTAAACGAATGGCCAGACACCCAGTATGACGTCTTGAGTAGGATGAATTCCACTTCTATTAATGGATATTAGAGGAACGTCAGACTGTTAACTCTGACGATGTTGGTTTAAGGACGCGATGGCTATACAAGCTTCTCCCGTGCTCTTTACGCACGAAAGAAACTTGTCGCTGGCAATCTTTAATACCGGTTGTGTCGTCACAAATAGAAACCGCAAGAGGGAGCCACGAAAACACCTCGCCGCAAATATCGACATCGTATTCCTGCGCTGTGGGAACCATAGTTGAAGCTAGGGCGCGCCAACTTGAATCGCCGCTGAGCCCACCCCAAACCAAACAGTCAAAAACGGGAACGGAAGCGAAGACACCATTAGTCACGGAGACAACGTAAACAAACCAGCAAAACAAACGGGCTTGCGCGCGTGCGCGCACAAAGCCGAGGCGTTCTAATGATGCTTTGTGCACGGACAGTTTAGACACCGCAAGTTATTGCGTCCATTTGAGAACTCGGGAGAAACGCGGTCTCCCACGAGTACGCCCGTCAACTAATTTCCACAGCTCCATTCTTTCCGATCGCAAAGTCGGACTAACGTCTCTGCGGACAGCAAACAAAATGAAATCAGAAGGCGACTTAAAGCATCCAGTATCTAAGATTTTAAAGTAACATAAAAGAAAAGCCCGGAGCAGGTTTATCCTTTAATCCAGTCAGTTGGCGAGGAAAGTTCAAAGTTGCTGTCGTCGGTCTTGAGTGTAATTAAACTATAAAAGCTTTACACTAGCTATGTCACACTGGCAAAGGGTGGCAGACGAAGAACGTGTTCAGCTATCATACCGACGAAGCGAGCGATTGCGCTAAACCAGCACGCAACCGCCCCCCCCCCCCCCCCCCCCCCCCCCCCCCATGGCAGACAGGCAGCATGCGCACCCCTCATACATCCTAGGTGGTGGCGCCATCTATCGGTAACTCCGCGAATGCTAATCGCCACGAGGAGGAGGTTGAACTTGTTTCGACGAACCTATGTACTTTTTGCGAAGTCTGACGAAATTCGATTTCCGAATTCCCTGCACCGGATTTCACATTTTTTTAAGAAAAAGAAAATATAAAGTTGTTTACTTTATATTTTATAAAATGATTACCAATGTTTACAGGGTATAAAAGCCAAAATTGTTCACTTTTAATGCTTTCGTTAGTAATGCTAACCAGTGAACCAATGCATCCAACAAATATTCCACTTTTTTTCCGCCAGGTGGTGTCGGCTCGTTTTTAAATTTTCGTACATACGCACGAAAGTTGAACGTCAGCGCAACATTTGTCAAACTTTACGTTGGAATTTAGAGAAAGTCGAACGTCTAAGAACCTCGGCAGGTTCGCGAGTCGCGACATCGCTATTGGGGATAGTTACGATTAAAAAGTGCGTCTTCCTCAGGAAGTTCAGAAGATAGCGTTTGGCTCTGTCGCGGACTGTCGAAACGTTTCAAAGCGACGGAAGAGCGTTTTCTGAAATTTATAAAAAATAGATTCAGACAACTGGCAACAGTGATTCTTAGTGACAAGATGGACATCCGCGCGGTGGTGGAAGTTGACGAGCGGCGACTCGATGTCTCGCGGTGGGAGACGGGCTGGAGGAGGGAGGGAAGGGGGGGGGGGGTGCACTCATCCAGTCAAGGAACGGGGCATGAACCAACCGGACGGGGCAAACGAGCTCCAGGCAGGAGTGGAAGTCATAGGGAGGCGACTGGCTAGATCAAGAATCCACTGTGATCCCCCAATACGAAGGGGTAGCCATTGAATCCCAATCTAGATCCAAAGTAGCTGAAAGGTCGTCGCTCTGAGGCATAGGTCATTTAGTGGCTCTAGAATAAACCTTCCATAGCACGGACCACACCACGACGGTGCATTTAGTGAACTAGGCCTTAGTGACTCTCTTTCGACGTTAACGAGGGGGGGGGGGGGGTTGTTAAAAGCTCACGTTGGTACGTTCGTATAGCGTGACTTCAAATGCCACTTTTGCCAGCTTCGACATAAACGGTCATTGCATGCTCGCCTGGATTCAGATAAAAATTTATCTATTACTCACTGCAGACACCTTGGAGTACTGAATTTCCAAACCGAATGGTACAGAAATCGGATTTGTTGCAGGAACATGTTTAAATATACATTTCAGAAGCCGAGGGGTGTTATGATAAAAACAAAAGCTCAAGCTGTAAAAAGAAGAAAAAAAGAGAGTTCATTACGAGCAGACTGTTCCTCGTCACCCATCATGAGGTGTGTTCACGCTTGACCAGAGCAGACGAACTAATTAGACAACGTTCCAAAGAATACCAATGCACAACGTGTCCCCGGAAAAAAAGAAAGAAAGAAGTGTTTTTCTTTTTAATTGCAAAAAATAAAATATGTGTCTCCGATGGCTCCGTCTCCGTCCAAATGTAGGGCTAGCGGTTCGCGCCATATGCCAATGCTGAACCATTATCTTACTAAATATGTATGAACGATATTCTTAGATTCTCAATGGAAAAATATTGTCCGACGAAACCCATTAATCCACTGGGCTGAACGGCACAAACCAGTGGCAACAGGCCCCATTTTGTCATTGAAAGTAAGAAATTTACGTTACTGTAGTTACAATACTACTCAGCTTGCAAAATTGACAATACACGTGACGACATGCGTCTTTCTGGAATCACTGGTGTTTATCTTCTTTTGATAAAAATAAAATAAAAACACAAATTGTGATTTTGTTTATCGAATGACAGATGTAGTACCTTATATATCTGGCGGAATTCTACACCATGACTACGAGAATTATTAAGTTTAAAACGCGCCAGTCGGCCGCACAGTGCATACACGCGTATCAGTTTCCATGACATACCGAGACCACGTCATATGCGCCAATGAAAAGACTCTAGAAGCGAGTTAGAAATGTGGTATTAATCAAAGTTCGCAATTTTTAACATGACAAGAGGCAACTTAAAACCGGCTATTTGAAAAAAAAAGGAAATACGATTAAAAGAAAAAAGAAATAAAGTGGCAGTGTGATAGGACTTGGTGAGGTTTATGATGGGAAATCGTCACGACGGGGCGTCGATTTTACAGCTAAATTTGACGGAGAAAGAGACGTCAATCAAATAACCCGTGGTCTGGTGACATGACTTCACAGTACCACGTGACTTGACATCTCATGAACTCAGATCAAGTGACATTATAAAAAAAAAACTGTGACGACAGTTTCCGTGTTAAATTTAGTGGGAAAATCGATACCACGTGACGCTATGACGTTCCTTGGCATTGTGACATCATGCAGTAAGACGAACATGAGCTAGCACGCCCCGTGGAAGGTTCCCCGCATAAAGTTATCGGGTTAAAACGGGTAGAGGAAGAGGAGGCTTCTCGAAAATAGCGTTTTGCATTTGTGGTGTCTTATTATATGACTCCACGGACACTATCGCTTACCTCGAGGTCGTTGAAGAAGAAGTGGGAGTCTGCGAGGTTGAAGATCATCTCTTCCATTCCGAGCCCATATTGCACCGAGGAAGGGCCATCCTGGGATTGAAAAAAACAACAACAAAAAGGTAAACTTTCGTAATCATCCTCTTGTCACCTTTCCATATCGAGGCATAATAGTAAACGGTGATTTGTGAAACCTCCCGCTCTCTAGAGTGAACCACGTCACTTGGGCATGCCCAAGAATCCAGGCTGCCCCCCTCATCACCAACCCGACACCCTAGTATGGGAAGCTGCGCTGTCCAGCTCGGACCCACATGACAGCGCGAGCTGGTCTCACAGGCCCGAAGCGCAGCAAACGCTACAGGAGCCCTGGAGTAAGGGCTCCCCTCGTCTAGGAAGAGCACAAGCTACCTGGTTGTTCAATTAACGTTATTTCTCCCTCTCCTCCCCCCTCCCAAACAACCCCCTAATATAGCCCTAGGTTGAATCCAGCAACCCCCAAAAACAGACCCTTTTCGATTGACGCAAGGTTTCTGCGTCGTTGTTTGCGAACCACAAATGAAGGGCTTCCCAGCAAGCCTCCGCCCGTGAGAACGCACTAGCATCGTGCCGTTGTATCACTTTTCAACGCTTTTTATGCTCCACACTCCCATGCTCCAGAGGGAATCGTCAAAGATAACGAAATACGCGCAGAGATTGATGCTGTCAATGTTGCATGCAGTGTTGGCAGTAGCCCTGCCCGTTTCGATCTTGACGAGCATTGTACCGGTGTGCGGTTGTGTATGACACCAGCGTGATGCACACTAAAAACCCGTAGGCTAGCAGTGGTACTGGTTCTTATCTGTAACGTAAACCAGTGTCGCTGAACATCAAAGGCAGACCAATTATCACGCGTTACTGGTAGCATATATAAAATACAAAAACTACCACCCATCTGGCTAAAACAAACATTATACTATTCCCTATTTCACTCTAAAATCAGCTATGGAATCTTAATTTGGGCAGCAACAACAGCTTCGAACTAACATAAGCTAGTCATCTTGAAGAAAAAATATCACGTATGTGCGAACATTTTAAAGAGGATAAAAGAAAGTTAAGTGCAGAACCGCTCTTCATAAAATATAATATGCTCAAAGCAGATTAGATATACTACTTCAAACTTCTGCAATGGATTTATATGAACAAAGTGTGCATTACGCCAACTGTCGGCTTGAGTGTGTACACCCTTCGAGACCCAAAGCGAACGATGCACACTATACTTCGTCTCACCCTACGATGGACTAAAGCTACGAACCGCCAGATCCAATCCCGAGCCACTTCGAAATTGTGCGGTATTTCGCTTCGATGCACGAATCGGTGCCCGCGTCTCGGATCACTGATGAGGGGACGGGTGGAATGTGGTTCAAATCGAGGAGCACTGAGTGACTCTACAATTTTACATCGCAAAGAAAGCCACGACATATATGCTCTTTGCAGCGTCGACACTATAAAAATGTTGCGGCATTTTTGAATTCGACCATTATTCGTCCACCCCTAGTCAATGTTAAGCGTGTCATAGTATAGCGCGAAACGTCATTGGACCTGGCGGCCCGTGGCTTTGGCCTTTAGTCCATCGTAGGATGAGACAGAGTATATAAGGACTAACTATGGCCGGCAAGCAATAACTTTTCAGGCAACGAAAACTTTAAATAGAAAAACAATATAAACATGGACTTTAACAAACCTTTTTATAAATTCGAAAATGAATGCAGAAGATTCCTGGTGAGGAGGGGTATTGCTTTTTCATCAAATTGAGACCTCTTATACTCATGATACGCGCTTCGAAGCGTAATCAAATTTTACACAAGGGAGTGCATTTCAATGCCTCTGTCTCTTTGTTTACAGTGAATTTATATATATATATCAGTGTGTCGAACCGAAAAAAATACGGGTTCGGTTACGGTTCAGGTTCAGGTAAATTTATTTTGTTCCGGTTCAGTTCCGGTTCGATTATTTCGATCCGCGAACCGGTTCGCGAACCGGTTCGGGGCGCTGAACCGGTTCGCGAACCGGTTCGGAAATTATAAATGACAAATTGCAACATCAAAATAAATTACAAATAAAACTTCTGAAATCAGCAGGACACCGATGAAAACAAATGAAAAGTAGTCGAAACTAGTAGTGCATAACGTTTATAAAAGCCTGTAGCCAATGCAAGCGGCAAACAACGACTGTCTGATGACAGGGCTGTCTGTCACGGGCGCTAACTCCAGCGTCTGCTGAGCGTTGGTGTGAGCGCACGCGCCCGCTTGAGTCCCATGACTACGCTGGGCAGGCGACGGAAGCAACCGAAGCTCGGCAGATCCTTTGTCAAATTCGAAAGGGCGCGCAGCTTCGCTTCTCCGCGAGCGACTAGGGTTTGTATCCCTGTTTTTTTGTTTTTTTTTCCCCGCATTTATCGAGTTTCCGGTACGAAAAAATACGGCATGTAAATCTTGACACTTCGTAGCTCGATATACTCTGACCGGTGGTTGGGGCAGCGAAGAGCAGATATAATTCATGAATGCTCATTTCAACTGTAAATAAAATTTCTTTCTCTCCCTCAAACATTATCAAACTCCATAGCCTTTTCATTTCTCATTCCGATGGAAGCAAGCTTCAAGAACTCGAGCGTTCTAGAAACGTGTTATGAAATGAGCACACAGCAGCATTTAGGATTTACGAGACTGTAGAAAACTGAAATCCCGTGACGCGATTTTTTTTTTCACAGCCTTTTAATTCTTTTTTTTTTCCGTGCAAGCCGCGACCAGCGCAATACTGGTTCCTATGTCAAGATTCATGGATGCAGCGTTTGTCAAGATTCATGGATGCAGCGTTTATATTCCTAAGACTGAGTGAAGAAGAAAAATATGCAAGCGAGGTGAGTGTCAGTTCAGGGCACTTAAAAAACAAATGGCATTGATAGCACATTCATTGTCAACAGTGCGTGGCCGAACCGTTTTGACATGAGCCGGTAACCGTTATTTTTTTTCCGGTTCAGTTCCGGTTCGGGTTCATCGCGATAACAATATAACGGTTCAGGTTCGGGTTCAGTTCCGGAAAAAAAAACGGTTCGGTTCCGGTTTTCGGTTCGGTTCGGTTCCGGTTCGACACCCTGATATATATATATATATATATATATATATATATATATATATATATATATATATATATATATATATATATATATATATATACTATTAAGTTGTTGTGATAGTTTGAGTATACTTTACTTTTTTTATAAAACTTTCCGATATTAGTTCTTTTGTTTTAGTTTCATGACAGTTTATTTGAAGTGTCACACTATCGTAGCTATTTGAGTGGTACTATCTCAAAATTTTACTGCTTAACTGAACATATGAAAGCGAATTTTTTTTTATGACATGTGCTGTTGTTAGAAGTATTATTTTCATTTTACGCACCTAATCTTATTTGCTGCCGTTAGTTAAGACTAATCATGGCCATTGCGCCATATGTTGTTCAAGTTTCTTGATACTTTCTGTTTCTTTTTGTTTAGTTTTATTTTACGCTGTATTGCATGCATTTTTTCGTATATTATGCTGAACCGTAGGGGGCAAAGGCTCTGTCAGGCATTGCGCCTTTATCTCTGCACCCTATGCGGAAATATATCAACAAATCAAATAAAGAAAAAAAATCATTACTCTGTATAAACACAAAATCAAATTTGGTTTCTTGGTTGGTCGTGCGGGTCTGTTCCGTCTTAAATTGGCTACAGCGGGAAACAAAGCAAGATGAAGTGTACGCGTGCGCTGACGGTTGCGGGAAAGGAGAAGGTCCCATTTCTCACACTATGTGCGCAAGCGTATGGTGTACACCCGCCGGACCCCTCCCGAAATGTCTAGCCGCCCCCCCCCCCCCCCCTCCCGTCCCCTCCCCTGGATTGACATTCCTGGAAGGAAAGGGAGATGGGGGGTATTACATCCTCAAGATCGGCCTCACAATTTCATATAACCTATCAAAAAAAAAAAAAAAAAACTAAATGTTCATAACAACGCCAGTTGAAAACGATCGAAGGTTGAAGCACCGTCAACTACGGCAAGAAAGCCACTATGTCTCAGACCGGGGAACTAAGTTAGACACTCGGCAAGAAAGTCGGCTAGATCGCCGCCCGCCATGATTGGCCAGGGGTAGGTGGTTGGTGGTCCGTCCTTCTATCTTGTCGAATGTCAAAGTTACAGCCCCATTATTATTATTTATTTACACTACCGGCCGCCGTAGGGCAGCCAAGGTAGGAGGGATACATGGATCAAGTTTTACGAAAAAGCAAGCACAAAGTGTGGCAGCGCAAAAAAAAAAAATAAAAAAATAAACACTTTACATATATAATCACGAACACACAAAGAGCAGAAAAATATTCGTTTAAGGGGTATCAAGGCATGAAACCTCAAAACTCTGGTAATTCGTTTATTAATGCTAGAAACAACGTTAAACAATTTGAAGAGACAATCTGTTCAGGTAACGCATTCCAGGCATGGATAGTACGAGGAAAATAAGAGTATTTTATAGAGTCGGTCCTGCACTTTATTTCAGTGATTTATTTACTGTGTTTATTTCTTGTGACCCTAGATGTCGTTCCCACTCAAGTCATGCGCTAGATACCTAACCATAACTGAAATTCATACCGATCTTCGATGATGATACAAGTGAAAGGCACGTGCTGATGAATGAGGTCGGATCGACGGTATCTCACGCCTTACGCTTGGAGTCTATAATTGCCCGTTATCAACCATTTCACAAACGGGCTTCTGACTGGTGCCATTCTTATCGTACGTATATATGGCGCGTGAATTTGTTCGCTTTGTGAAGCGATCAAATACACGCGCTGAGTTGTGAGGATCGCAAGCTGGGCTGTGATGCTGTTAACAGTGGTGGAAGTAGCATTCGAGCTTTTTTAGCAGTTTTTGTAGGAGCCAAAATATTGGTGTGGACCAGCCATTCACGCTTTTGGAGCAGATACCATCCACTAACATATCACTTGAAAAATGGTAAACAAAAAATATTGCATCGCAAATTGAGTTTTTTTGTTATTTTTTTTATCAGGATTGAGGTTTTTTTAT